ACAATTTATACTCGAACCATATGTAAAGAATTGCAGAGGATGGGAATTCGTAGTCGGATGTCTGTGAGGAAACCTCACATTTCTGCCTGAAATTCCAGAATTTGCTTGTACTGACGTCAGTAAAATTGACACAGGTCATCTGAGCACTTCAAACTGATAATGTTTATGGATGAAACAAGCTATATTTTGTTTTGCCATGATAAAAGACGTCAAATTTTGCATGAATCTCACGAAGTTATTAGTTATTAGTTGAACCTCACGAAGTTATTATGCACTGTTTTTTTTCTGGAGGTAAAAAAAGCCACGCAATATCTGGGCACATTGGCAGATCAATTGTATCCTGCAATATTTCTCCGAAGGAGACGGACACTTTTTGGACAATAATGGTATGGTACGTAGTACGAGAAACGTTAAAATTTGGTTCAATGAATATTAATCTGTCTTCCAACACCATCTCTGGCCACCACAAGGCTTGGATTTTAATCCAATAGAAAATGTGGGGAAAGCACTATCAACAGCAATCCCTTCTTTCATATAATACAAGGTCTAAGAGTTTGCGCAACCAATGCATGCGCAAATGCTCCTGAAGCTCGTAGAATAGATGACATCCCGAAAACAGACTGTTATCCGCGCAAATGGAGCTCCAATAAAATATTAATCTGACCATGCAAAACAACTAGGTGGAAATATGGCCATTGAAGGACTACATAAGACTGCGCTTTGGAACCATGTGATTGAGAAAAAGAAAAGAAATAAAATAAAATAAATAATTTTAATAATAAAATAAATAATTTTAATACTAAAATAAATAATTTTAATAATAAAATAAATAATTTTAAAATAATAATTTTCTCAATTGTTCTGGACATGAGAAAGAGGGGATGAAAAAGACATTTAGAAAAACGCGTGAGAAAGCTAAATGGAAAACACCACAGTATCAAATTAAAGTTGTACCTAAAGAAAACCTAAAAATTCTATATTTTTAACTTCTATTCACACCATGTCTATTTAAGCCTATATACTTTCAATATGTAAGGAAAAAAATCAATATTTTAACAATAAGAAAAATATTGTTCCGATAAATTATAGAAAATATTACATTCCTTCACTGTTTTTTTCCTTAAAAAAAAAAAAAAAAAAAAAAAAAAAAAAAAAACGATTAATTTTACGAATTAATACCTTTATGATTCCAAGTTTATTTGCTGTTGTGAAACTAATTTATGTTTTGCATATAATTGGTTCCTGCACCAGCGCTAACTAGTTGAGGACTAATATATTAAGGATATCTAAAATGTCAAAGTTGTGCACTAACGGATTGTGCTTCTTTAATATTAAAAAACATGCAAAAATTCCAAGATTTCGCCATGCAAATCATTTTCTATTGAAACGTTTTTAAAAAAGTTAGAACTGAAAATTTCAGTTATATAAAAAAAAAATTGATGATGTTTACTCTTATTTATCTAAATATATCGTTGTTTCATTGTTGTAATTATTTTGAAATTAAGAAAGTACAACAGTAAATAACAAAAGAATATAATAAATAGCTACCAAACTATAATTCTCCATTTTGTCTATTTTGTATATTACGAAAGATTATCACATCTATTTTGTACGGTGTGCAATGTGTGAAATCAATTTTGAGAGCCAAATTCAAAATATAAATTTTATTCATACAAAGGTTATTTTCAAAACAGCATAACAGAAAAATTAATGGTCAGCTTGTAACTCTTTTAAACCATTTATATGTAGTGGCAACATTTTGTGTCGTAAACCAGTAAAATGCAATTTTTTTTAAAAATGCATTTTTAAGCTCTGTTAGAGTTTTTTTTTATCAAAGTTTCGCTAACAAATAAAAGTACTTAAATTTTTCAACACAATAAAATTTTAACAGTTAAATGTAGACATATTTAAAGACGAAAGGCATTTCATAAGTAATATCTATTAAAATATTACTAATCAAAAAGATAAATAAATAAAAAATATCCTTGACTTGTCTTGCTAGCAGACTTAACATAATTTGGGATACATATTATTTCCCTTTGTTTTTAAAATTAGTCTAAACTGTTCTAAGTATTTTTTATGCACAAATACAAGGTTGAAAAATCATTTATTTTGTGAAATAACTAAATTTTAAAAATTATGATAGCTCTACTTGACACTTTTAAATTTTTCGAGAAGTTACCGATTTTTATCTAAAGTGTGAGGCGAAATAAAAATTGCTTTTCATACAAATATATTAAAATAATTTATTCTCATATTGTAATTTTAGTAAACGATGAGTCAGCGATTCATTTTCTCACAATTTTTTTTCCCTTCATATTTCAACCTTTATTTCATTTCTTGCATCTGTTATTCTCTCTCTAACATGATGATGAGTCCCGCAGGTTCCCAGCAGATCACCGAAGTCAAGCATCACCGACTGCGGTCAGTGTGCGGGTGGGTGACCACTTGGATCAGTCTGCGTAGGGACCGAGGGTGTGTGGTATTGGTTCTCGTTAAACTGTGCTACCGTAAAGTGCTCGACTTCGCGCGCAGGTCGTCGGGCTACCGAAGCGGGGTGCCATCCCCTCCGGGATGTTTCCCAGACCGTCGCCAATAGCCCATTGTGCAGCTCTAGTGCGACGTAAATTAACAATAACAACTAACATGATGATGATAATTATCACTTTATTGTTTACTGTTTTTAAAAATAAGATTTGCTATAAAATTTTTTGTATTGGTTTAATTGCATCAAAATGTAAAGATATAATATCGGATGCGATTTTCTTTTAACACTAACGTTAAAGATTATCTCAAGTTCTTGTTGTTGTTAATTTACGTCGCACTAGAGCTGCACTATGGGCTATTGGCGACAGTCTAGGAAACATCCCTGAGGATGATCCGAAGACATACCATCACAATTTCGACCCTCTGCAGAGGGGATGACCTGCACGCGAAGTCGAGCACTTTACGGTAGCACAGTTTAACGAGGACAAATACCGCACACCCTCGGTCCCTACGCAGACTGATCCAAGTGGTTTAATTTTAAATTATTCGGTGGATACTTGAGTCAAGAAGTATTCTTTGATCCTCATGTTTTAAAATAATGTAATAGTAAACGATTTCTTTAACTTAATGTTTAAAATTTAGCTGAAGAATGCTCATTACTAAAGCCCGGATTTTGATTGCATTTTTTGTCTTTTAGAGCATTTTTTTAGATTTATAGGGCATTTTTCTTTAAATTTTGGGGCGTATTTTGCATTTTAATGCATTTTTTAAAGTTTTTTGTTAATTTTTTCCAATTTTTATTATTTTTTATCAATTTTTATTATTACACTGGCTTCCAAACAATGAAGAAAATCTATAGAATATTAACAGGTGAAGCAAAATCTTTTCAAATTGAAGAAGAATTGTCATTAAGTGAGACAGTCTTTTTCAAGTACGCACCTATAACGTTGAAAGAAGCTTGTGCAGGAATGAAAATTTACTTTCAGACAAGAGACGCTCGTTTACATTTCAAATTATCAAAAAAGATTTAATAATCCAATGTAATTCTGATATTTAGTAATATTATGAGATGGAAGTTGTTATATCCATTAAAGTTTCTATACGAAATAAAAATATTTTGGTGACAATATATTTTCCTTTTTTTGTTATTTTAGGATATAAAACGAATTTTTCAAACTTTAATGAACGTAGAACAAGTATTGCATTGCTTTATATTTTTTAAATGACTCATAATAATTTTAAAGAGCAAAACATTTTTTTAATTCAATATTTTTACTTTATTTAAGGCATTTTTTGCACAATTTTTGGATTTTTAAGGGCATTTTTTGCCCTTTTTAAGGGCATTTTCTGCACTTTTTAAGGGCATTAGTTGAGATCTTTTAGGTCATCAAAATCCGGGCTCTACTCATTACGATTAAAAAAATATTCAAATCGATGTAGATAAGAATCTTGTTTAAATTCTCAACTGTAAGGTCTTATCTATTCTTTACAAAAACATATTTTGTAAAGGCATAATATAGTTCTTTTTCATGACTAATTTATTAATACCAGAAATGTGAGTCTGCCCTCTGCTCAATTTATTACATTTTCTTTTCTTTTTTAAAAAAAGCCTTGTTTAAAATTTTTACATATATCGTCCAGTTTTTTAGGAAACCTATTTACAATGTTCGAAATAGATAATCTCTAATCAACAAAATACATGCAAAGGAATTTTTTTGCTTTAAAGAAAAATAAATTTTGTGATAGCAGAATTGTCAAAATAGTAGCTGATAGTAGTTACATTTCGAAGACTATAATAAAGGCAGCTTTAAAAAGGTAATTTGTAAAAAAAAATGTTTTTTTTTCTGTCTTACTCTTGTATATAATTGCAGGTTTGTCTTAATTTAGATAAAACACAGTATTTATTACTTTTTTTTTCCTTTTGAAATTTAAATGTAATGCAAATTTTACGGCCAAAAATTGCGTTAGTATTGGACACAAAAATTGTGTACACAGTAGCTATAAATAGTTGTCAAATTGTTAAAAATTTCTGATGTGCTCACTTAACATTATTTTTGCATAATTAATGACAATTTTAAAAATATAAAATTATTGACAATTTTAAAAATATTGAATGCTTTCCATGTTTCACCTCCTAAAAAGAGGGCTTTGGTTTTCGTTTCAGGTTTTTTTGTTAGGTAAAATTTCAGATACTGAAGAAAAGAAAAAAAATAAAGCTAAGTAAGTATTTCTCTATTTAATTTCAATAAAAGAAGGAGAGGAAGAAAATTTATGGAATTAATTTGGTCATTTTTAAAATGATTTTACTTTATTATCACAATTATTACAAAAAATGGCACTTAAAAAATTCAAACAATAAATTAATTTCAATCTTAAATAAATCTAGTTTTATTTTCTGGAAGTAACGATACATAAATATATTTAATGATAGTAAGAACAAATATATATATATAATTTTTAGAGCTAAAATTTGCACTCCATGCAAATGAAAATATAATTTTTCAACTATACAATCAACCAGAAATAGTGAGGTTTTTATTACACAGTTTTACAACATGAATAATGTATGAGAATTGTGAAATTACAAATGACAAGAGTAAAATGAGTAATAACTAGAGTAAAGAATTTTATAAAATATTGAAACAATTGCAATTTTGATAAACTTGGCTCATTTCTAAAAAAAATTTAGGAATACATTTAAAATTATAAATTATGCAAAATTTATCAGAATACTCTTTGTTTAAAGAGAAGAAAAAAAAATTATCAAAATCAACTTGAGCACTATTTCTAGGTAAAATTTGAAACTTTCATTCATAAAAATACCAGAACACAAAATAAAATTTGGAGTCTAAGAAAAAAAAAATGGTGGCAGAATTCGTTAATATAATTTCATTTAAAATTTCTATTATGGTGAACAAAGAAAAATATGCGCGGAATGACATAAGAGGATTGTTCTATTTATTGCTTCACAACAATACAAAAAATCAAGTAAAATTATATTGCCAAATTATTCAATTACCATCCAAATCTTCTTTATGCTTATTCCAAAAACAAAAAAATAAAAGAAAATGTAAAAACTTTTATATAACGTTAAAAGAAATGCAAAATAATAAGAAAAAATCCACTTATTTGTGGGCAAAATTTTTTTCTTCTCCCTCCATGAAAAAACAGAAATGAGATGGAGTTTTTTTCGCAAAAATCTAGAATTTTGTAAATCATGGTTATAAAACAACCCAAAAGTTTGGGCTCTCTAAAACAATCACTTTAGTGAGAATGTGATAGATTAAAGGTAGAAGATTTACAGCCCTTTACTGAAAATTTCGTATAGCATTTGCATCTCTGCAAAAAGTCGCCACTTTGAAATTAAAAATTTTTTTTATAATTAAAAGTCTACTCTTATTGTTATATGTTAGGTTTTTTTAGTTTATTGATTTTTAATAAAATATTATAATTTGTTTGGCCCAGTTCTTTTTTTTTTTTTTTTTTGCCACACTCTGTAATTAAATAAGAGAAGGTTAAACTTAAGGTAGCAAAATTGGTTAAAACTAAATGATGGCAGTTTCATTAACCTTTGGCAAAACTATTTAATTTTAATATGTGAGTTGTAATGTATCCATGATGTTAAGCAATGTTGTTCTAGTAAAATGCGTAAATTCATTCTAGATTAATATGGAGTAATGAAGAATGTGGAATAATTTTATTTGAAACGAGTCATTCGTTATTTAGGATAAATATATATATAATTGGAAAATTTTACTAACATTTCATTTAAGTAGTATAGCATGTTAATTTAGGTAATATAGCATTGTAAAAATAAGTTCAAAAGCATATGATATAAACATGAACTGAAACTTAACGAAAAGAAAATAAAATCTATAAGAAGTTAACAATTTGTATGCTTATAAATATTGCATGCAATTTTAAATAATACTTTGTAGATGCATATGAATATGAAATATATACATTAATAAAATTTATTTATACAATTTTATAATGATATCAAAGCCTAATAAAATCTGATTGTGCATATTGTACATAATTTTTATATACATGCTGCTATATATTAGTATCCACGACGTTTAGCCTTTTTGTTTTAGTAAAATGTATTACCTAGATTCATTCTAGAACACATGGATTAATATGGAGTAATGAAGAATGTGGACCAATGTAATTTTAAAATGAGTCATTTTTTACTTTATTTAGGATAAATTGAAATTTAATTGGAAAATTGTGGCAAAATTCAATTTAAGTAATGTATACTTACATACATCATAACTACTAATTTAATAGTAACACATGGATCAATAAGTAATGGATCATAACACATGGATCAATAAGTTCCGAGACTAACCCAGAGATGGCGCTCGTAGTAAACCAGTAACCAGGTCTTTCTAGAGTACTAACCTTTGCTTGAAACGTGTCAAAATTTTAAGTCGATCGGACCAGAAACAGCTGAGTTATCGAGGTTGGAGTAAAGTCGTTTTGTAGTTTGTTTAAAAAATGGAAAAAACAGAGTTTCGTGTTCTGATAAAACATTGTTTTTTAATGGGTAAAAACACCGTGCAAGCGAAACAATGGATTGACAAATGTTACCCGGACTCTTGTCCATCAAAAGCAACGATTTGTCGGTGGTTTGCCGAGTTTAAACGTGGTCGTACCGACACAAATGACGCGGAACGCTCGGGCAGACCTGTGGAAGCCGTTACACCGGAAAATGTGAGTGAAGTGACAAAAATTATAACGAAAGATTGTAAAGTGAAGCTCCGTGAGATTGCTGAGATGACACAGATATCATATGGAAGTGTATTTACTATCCTTCATGAAAAAGGTTTTTTCCAAGTGGGTGCCGAGATTGCTTTCGATGGAACAAAAACAGCAACGAGTCGATGATTCAGAAAGCTGTTTATCGTTACGTGACCATGGACGAAACATGGTTACATCACTACACTCCAGAGTCGAAGCGGCAGTCATCTGAGTGGCGCACAGCTGGCGAAAGCCGTCCGAAGCATCCGAAAACGCAGCAGTCAGCTGGCAAAGTCATGGCGTCAAGTTTTTTGGGATACGCATGGCGTGATTTTCATTGACTACCTCAAAAAAGGTAAATCGATCAACAGTGATTATTATATTGACTTGCTGGTGCGTTTGAAGGAGGAAATCGCAAAAAAACGACCGCACATGCAGAGAAAAAAAATCCTTTTTCACCAAGACAATGCACCCTGCCACAAGTCGATGAAAACAATGGCAAAATTGAACGAATTGGGCTTTGATCTGCTTCCCCACCCCCCATACTCACCAGATTTAGCCCCCAGTGACTACTGGCTCTTTGCTGATCTTAAAAAAGTGCTCCAGGGAAAAAGATTTGGCTCAAATGAGGAGGTCATCGCTGAAACTGAAGCTTATTTTGAAGCGAAAGATAATTTTTTTTATAAACATGGTATTGAAAAATTGGAAAAGCGTTGGAACGATTGTATCACCCTAAAAGGTGATTATGTTGATGAATAAAAAAAAAAATTTGCAAAAAAAATGTTTTCATTGTTAGTCTCGGGACTTATTGATCCATGCGTTACTAATATTTAATAGTATGTACTATTCAATAGTACATAGTAATTTAATAACATTTATAGCACTTAAAAAAAATTTTTTTAAGCATTTGATCTGAACATAAATAGAATAAAAAGAAAATAAGATAAAAATAAGTTTGATTGTACTATATACCAAAAGCTATAAAATCAGCAATTTACAAAGCTTTTAAATATTAGATAAGTAATAAACATTAGTAATAAACAATATAATATTTTGTACATATATATACAGAGATAAAATTCATTTTGACAATTTTATTAAGAATGATATCAAATCTAATAAAAGCTGACTGTGCAAGTGTATAAATGCATATTTTGTCATTCCTACTTTGATGTAATAAACAACATAGTTATTCATTTGGCTTTTTGCATAGATTTTCTTCATTTATGTAGGTTAAAAGCAATACTATCACACATGAATTACGTTTTGGTATAGATATATATCAATATCAAATACATACAGTGACAAAATTCATTTGTACAATCTTATGATAACACAATTTAAAAAAAAATTTTTTTTGTTGATGAATGATGTCAAACTCTTATAAAAACTTACATAATTCTTATAAACAATACATGCAGATTTCGTCAATTCTTTTTTTTTTATTTATTTTTTTATAATTTCATAAAATCAATTTTTTTAAATATTTCTTATGGCATTGTGAACATTATTATGTAATACATTATTGACATCATGAAATGAAAAAATTAACATCATTCATTTTACTTTTTTAATTCAAGGGTTTTATTTTAATTCTATTTTAATTTATGTTAATTATGTTATGTTAGTTTAATTTATGTTAATAGTCTATTTTAATTTATGTTGGTAAAAGGCACTGCAATCACGCATAATATAAACAATGATGAAATCCATTTAAATAATTTTTTGATGAAATGATACCAAATTCTTATAAAATGCATATTTTGTCTATTTTTTTTGATTCCATAAACATTTAAAAAGTCAACATTCTCACTCATTTGTCTTTTTCAACACAAGGATTTCTGAATAGTTTTTTCTAATTTAAGCTGGTTTATTTCAGCCATAAAGCTTTCTTATTAATCATGATTTAGGGTTTTGGTACAAAAGACCTCTGGTCGATATGTACTGCTCTTTGGCGCGGCCCAACCTCTAAGTCTAATTTGAGTTGGTTAAAACAACTAATATCATGTTTAATGTCTTTGAGTAATGAAAAAAAAAGTAATAAAACAAGGCTTTTAATAATGAAAAAAAAAACTATTTTGATTGTGCAACGAGATTGAAACAATTTAAAATAGATTAAGGTTAAAACAGTTAAACAAGGATACAAAATGCATAGATTAATGTGATTTGTGCAAAAAATTAAAGATATTAGAAATACGTTGAGATTTAGGGAATTTTCAGTAATAAGTTTCTCCTTTTTGCATTGCTATAAAGAGCATCTCAATTATCATAATAATAAAGCCTGCTTCATTTACAACAAATAAAAAGACAGTGACACACTCTAGTTATAAAGAAAGAAAGAAAAAACTATTTTGGTTACGTAATGAGATTGAAAACACAATTTAAACTAGATAAGGTTAAACAATCTAACAATATAAAATGCATAGATTAATGTTTTTTATACAACTAATAAAACCTATTAGAAATATTTTTAATTAAATGTCTAAATAATGAATAAAAAAAACAATTTTGATTGTATAACGAGATTGAAAACATTTAAAATAAGTAAGGTTAATCAAACTAAAGATACAAAATGCATAGTTTAATGTCTTTCATGTAAAAAATCAAACATATTCATAAAATTTTTAAGTTCGTTGATTTTTACAAATAAGTTTCTCTGTTTTGCATCACTAAAAAGAGCATCCCAGTGATCAAAATAACTAAGCATGCTTGAATTAGCAACAAGAAGAAGACAGTGACGTGCTCTAGTAATGGCGACATTTAATCGTTTCTTACAAGATAAAAAGTCTATGCTTTCAGCTAAATAGTTAGGGGAAAGGCACGATATAATTATTATATCTTTCTCCCTCCCTTGAAAGTTATCAACCATATTTACTTCAATGTTTTTATGACCACGGATCTTCGACAGAAAATTTTGAAATATGTCAATTTGTTTTTTGTGAGGAACAATAACTCCGATAGATGAATAAGATTCCTTAGTAGAAACAAATTCACATAGCTTAGCAATGGCAACCGCCTCATCACAATTGTCATCATTACAGCTTGAAACATCAAAAACAACATAGGGTGAAATGGAGAAATCTTGGTTTTTGCAAAATTCAGTAATAAGTTGACCGCCATAAAAATATCTTGAGGGAAATTCGCAAATGCTAGAATGCATTCGAAATTGTTCTTTCAGCATATAAGGTGGATTTGGAGACACAGTTTTAGACAAATATAAATAAATCCGCTCCAGCATGGAACGATCGAAATGTTTCTGTACGGCAATTTGAGAATGCACAGTTGGTGGCAACTGATTATGATCACCAACTAAAAGCAACTTATGAATATTTAATGTTAAGGGCTGCAAAATCTCAATTTCTGTACATTGTGTAGCTTCATCGACAATACATGCAGCAATTTGAATTTCTTTAGAACAAATTGCAGGGTGCCAGCAGTTCCTTAAAGTTGAAAGAATTACATGACATCTTTTTAAAATTTGAACTTTTTCACTGTGTAATTTATTCTGCACAGTACCTTGCCCATTTCTGTCTTTGACGTGATTATTTCTGACAGCATCATCAGCTTGGATTTCTAATGAATAATCTTTCATCTTAACATTCATATCTTTGCCTTGCCCGATGCGAACGAATTTAATTTCGACCCGTTTATAACTTAATCGCTCATTAAAATCTACAATGCGCAAACCGATCTCATCCACAGCCACACTGGATGGTGCAGTTATTAAAATCTTCTTGCCAGAATAACTGGGACTGAAAATGAGACGCTCGAGAAGGCCGATTATTGCAAGAGTTTTACCCGTACCAGGTGGGCCTTGAAGAAGAAATATTTTTTGCTCCTGATTCTCTCTCTCCAACTCCTCACCCAAAGAATCTATTACTTGTGTCTGAGATGCATTGAATCTCATTTCATAGCAATTAGATGTAATATGATTGCTTACTGTAAAAGCTGATCCATCTGGTTTTAAGATGTTGTCACGTAAAGGAGATGCTTTAAACTTTTCTAAAGCGAGAGCTAAATGAAACTTCTTTTTCACCGATAAAATGACATTTCCTCTCATGATGTCATAACATTTTGGAGATAAAAGGTTGAGTTTTGTTACAACTGAAAACTTGTACAACTTTGCACCACTAATCCAATTTGAAGTGACTTGATCCCATTTCGGAGATATGTGTTTCGATAGAAAATTTGTTATTACTTGATGCTTACTGATGTAACCAAAGATAACATGAACATTTCCGTCAAGATTTTTAATTGCTAGTATAACTAAATTGCCTTCAGTAGGCTCAGGAGAGTTCTGATTTATCAAAGCTTCACAGTCATAAATTATCAGAGAATTCTTTTTATGTGATTTATATATCGTAAAATAAAACTTCTGACACTTAAACTCACTATCCAAAACAGGTTGAGCAAACTTGCAAATTTCTTCCCAAATTTCAAGCATTAACATTGGCTGAAAGGCAGACACATAATGTTCATATGAATCAAAACTTAAAGGGAGGTCCTCACTATCTTTGTACACAAAAGGAGGAGGCAGTTTCTTACTTTTTTGTTCATTAATCCATTGCACATTAAGCCCAACTATTTTTTCGATTATCTTATTAGCACTATAGGTTTGGGAATTTGGATAACTAGTCCCAGCAACAACAGCAGTAGGCTTTTTATCTTCATTATTATAAGAAAAATCTTTTACTTGTTTAAATTGTGTGCTAGTATCAATGACTTGCTTTGAAATATCTTTCTTTAACTTAGAATCTGTATTTATACTATGCAAAACAGTTCTAGTTTTCGCTGTAGATGTATTAGGCGAGTTTGAAGACAGATTATTATGAGACAAGTTATTATTTCTATTTGTAGAGGTTTTCAACTCACTTACAAATGATGTATTATCTTTAATATAAGTTTTTGTTTGACTGTCTTTTGACTTTTTGCCACTGATTTCTTTACCTTTGGAAGTAGGAGACTGATGGCTGTTTATTGAGATACTTGAATCACTTACTAATGAGGTATTATTGTTAAAAAACTTTTTTGTCTTATTATCTTTTGACTTTTTGTCACTATTATCTTTGGAAGTAGGAGGTTGGTTGCTGTTTTTACTTAATAATTTCCTATTTAAACCACCTTCAACTCCACTAGTTATGGATATGGTATCTGATATTAAATTATTGTTAAAAGAAAATGAATTTTTCATATCTTGAGATTGATCAGACTTTTTTGCTGTATAATTAACAACAGGTACATCAGAATTAGTCTGTTTAGCTTTTTTACTTGCTTCAGTTTTAACATTACTTTCGGAAATTCTTTTAATACTAGATCTGGGTTTATGAGTGTCATTGTTAATTAATGAGGTAGTTAAAAATTTAGAACGGGAACTGAAATGTTCAGGTCTTACCTTTACAGTTGGTAGGGTATGCTTAGCAACTGAATTACTGCTTAAGTTTTTAAGTTTTTGTGCTTCTCCAACTTCTATTGTTGCGCTTGATTTTCCTTTTCTTATTTCATTAAGATTACAAGATTTACTCGCACACTTCTTTTGAAAAGATTTCACAGATGATTTGGTAGTCATATGCTTCTTAGAAGGCTCTGTGTCTCTATGTTTTTCAACAAGTTCTTCGTCTTCAACCGGAATAAATACTTCCTCTCTGCCTCGCAAACGCTTAGGTCTTGGTATCATAGGTTTAGGTTCAGTGAGCATTGTTCTGCTCACTAATTTGGATTCTTTAACTGTTCTGCTCACTAATTTGGATTTTTTAACACTAACATTTTCATCAACACGACTCTTAATCACATACTTTGGTTTTTCAAAATGTTTAACATCTTTTTTCTCAGAAGATTTATTATATGGAGATGAATATACAAAATTAGAATGTAGACTGATATCAGAGTCGTCACTTTCCTGCACACCATTTTCATCATCATCACTCTTAATCAAATACTTTGGTTTTTTAGAATCTTTTGCTTCTGATTTCTCTGAAGATTTATTATACGAAGATGGATACATAATAATAGAATGTAGACTGACATCAGAGTCACCGCTTTCATAATCAGAAATTGAATCAATAGCAATATTATTTTTCCTAGCATTATCAAATACATTGTTGGATTTTATTTCTTTATCAGATAAAGTATATTTATTATTAGACACACTCTTAACAGATGGTAGACTGTCATTCGAGTCATCACTTACATTACCAGACAGAAATTCTTTGTCAGATTTATCAGCTGAAAAGATATCAGTTGGACAATCAAGATCAGAATAAGAGTGATCACCTTTTTCTTTTTTTACATGTACATTTTCATGAGAAAGGATAAAATGATTGATATTTTCAATAGTCTCTTTATCATCATTGGTGTCATATATTAATTGAATATCATTTTCATCAGGTAATTCATTAAGTAATGAAAAATCTAAATAATCTGAGTCATACAATACCTCAGATTTAATTGGTAGAGAAGAATTAAAATCCAAATGAGAGTCATCATCGGAAATACAAATAACTTCCTCTGTTTGTGAATATCCAATGTGGTTCTTAACACCTTGATTTCTACGACCTTGAGTTTCACGCAATGGTTTAACAACTGCTGTAACAGAATTTTGAGGTTTACAGTGTGAGTGTGAATAACTATTATGTCTTTGGACGCATGAACTATCAATCTGAAAAGAGTCACATGGAATATTACTATTAACATCTACATGTAGCTCACTGTTAACTTGAGGTAAAAGAGATGCATTTGCACCAAAAAATGTTCTTTCATGTTGTTCAGCATATCTTCGTTGGGAGGGGTTAGAAAATGCCCTTTTATGAGGTTCTGAGATACTTTTCACATCAGGAGGTAATTTAAAGTATTTAGAATCACATCTAATTAGTTTTACATAACATTTTTTAACGTTTTCTAATACATTATCATCAACCTTAGTAGAAGGTTTTAAAATAGACAATTTATTGCTTAAATCTGCACTTTTACTTACAGAACTGTTACTCGTTGATAAATCATAGCAAGGTTGGTGATTTTCTTCGTTCACAATGTAAACTGGCTCATGCATTATTTCGTTATCAGTCAAACAGAATATGCAAACAAGTCCTTTACTTGTAACATTCGAAACTCCAAAACCAATAATATCACCTATTTTTAATTTCTGTTTCTTAGTAATACGCCGAGAGTTAACATAAGTTCCAACATTACGAGTCAAATTTTTTATAAACCAATCATTGTTTTTTTTTGTTACTCTCGCATGTTGTGGACGTAAATAGCGAATTTTTTTTAAAGAAGGAAATGTTCCTTTACCGATTTTTAACAGGTCAGAATTTAAACAAATGACAATCGGGGCATACCCATCAATGTTGTTTATCTGTTTCAAGCAAAATCTCTCCATTTTTATTATGGTTTATTCATAATCATATAATTGAAAAACACACTATAATATGTTTTCGTTCACTTAACTGAATGGATGGTTGTTGACTGAATGAAAACCACACCTTCTTTACTCGTTGATGATGATGATTGATTTATTGAAATTACATGATATTTGGTCAATTTAGGAATTGGTAACTGGGCGGAGTGAGCTTGACGCTAGCTTTTATCCATCAATCTTCTTATAACCCTATATTGATTGTGTGACCAAACTTTTTCGCCAAAGCAATTGGCGTTGTTTAAACAAAAGCTATTGTTAGAGGAAGCAATTTTCTGTATTTCGCTGCGCGGGATTTCATATTTTATCATCAT